CTGTGTGAAGTTGGGGAGGCGCGTGGCGGGAAGGTCGGCTGGCCAGGGGAATCCTGCTCCCAGTTGATGCTTGCTTGCATAAGAAGGAATCCTGGGCGTCTCGGCAGCAAAGGGGACCCGCTGGCATTTTAGGGCCCGCCTCCGGTGGTGCAATCAGGCACCTTTATCTGGGGAGAGCGACCAGCGCTCGGTGAACCGGCTGGAACTTGTCGCTAAGGTTTGCCCGCTTTTCCTCGTGCAAGCGTAAGCCAACCATAGAGATTCTGGCCATGCTGCTAAACCGTAAGGGGAGGTAAAACGTACAGAACGGCCTGCCGTAGAAGAGGATTGGAACAACATCTCTGTGACGGTTGCCTGTCCTCCAGGTGAGGTCCTCTGGAAGCGGAGAAGTCCTGGCCATTGGACCTTTCCAGACTGAAGCAGCTCCTTTGCGGAGCAGTGAAAGGCGTCAGCCTCACAAGAAGTCCCGTGGCCAGAACTCGGCCTCCAGAGAAGGGGTTTGTAAGGAGGGCAGGGTTTATGGGGGGGGATTGGCGGGCCTCCTTCGCCTGTTGGAAACACTGAGGCACGGATGGGAAGCGGGAGGCTCTCCAGAAGGGGCCACAGTGAAGAGCGAATTGTCCTGGCTGGTGGGACACGGATGGGAGCCCCCCCCCCCCCCCCCCAGTTTCTGACTGCTTGCTCTCTCCAGGTCTGGCCTTTTGTGGCTCATCGGCTTCCTCCTCCAGGGTGAGAAAGCGCTTAAGAATGAGACTCCCGACTTCTGTGGCAGCCGGAAGACCCGAACCCGGTCCTCAGCACTGTCTCCACACAGGCCAGGCGCCCGTTGGTGCAGGCAAAGGGGCCTCGGAGTCAGTCAGGTCCCTACACCAGGTGAGGACGGGAAGGGCTCGGCAAAGCAGGGGGAACCATCGCTCGTACCTGTCCTTTGCCCCACCACGACCACCGGGCTCCTGCCCGCGGAGTCAGACCGCAAAGCCCACTCGCTGGTGGGGCCCAGGCAGACTCGTGGCCTGCTGCGACCTGCTTCCTGAAGGGACGGGAGCCTGGATCCCAAAGACGGTCCCTTCGAAACCCCATCCCGTTCCTTCTCAAAGCACTCGCAACGTGGCCAGGGGACCGGCTGCCGCCAGGAGGAACGTCGGCCTTCAGGGCTGCTTCAAACAGCCAAAGCGGGGTTGGGCCCAGGTTCGGGTCTGTGTTTCCGGAACCCACCCACGCACCCCGACCCCGGCGAAGAGCAGGCGTGGGAAAAGTGACTTGGGATCCAAGCAATGCCAGGAGCAGCTGGATGAGTTTTATTCGAAGTTGCTCAGAGCCCCAAAGAGAGAGAGAGAGAGAGAGAGGCTCCGGCTGCGACGCCCCCTCCCACGCAAAGGAAGGCCAGCGCAGGGGGGGGGACGGTCCGCTGCCGGACGACAAGACGCACCACCCTTCGGGGAACGCGGGACTGGAACACGACGGGAGCGCTTCTAGACGGGTGTCTTCCAGGCGGGGCAGGCGCCAGGCATGCAGGAGGACCTCCCTTGTTCGTGAGACGAGCGTGATCCACCCGAAGGGTGTTCAAAGGATGCCCCCCCTTCGCTTTCGGGGGGGGGCTGTCTTCGGAGAAGGACCTGCCTGTCCATCTGATGCGAGGTGGCTCCCGGTTTCCATTTTTTTTCCCTGTCAAAGGCCGTGACCATCCACGGGCAGCCGGTCGGTCTTCTCGGTTGTGGGGCGGTGGGGGGGTGAACGGCCTTCTCTGCCTGCCCCCCCCTCGCCCGGCCCCACAGCGGCCGATGCCCCTGAAAGGCGGCTCCCTCAGGACGTCCGTCGGGCAGCCCATCTGATGCGAGGTGGCTCCCGGTTTCCATTTTTTTTCCCTGTCAAAGGCCGTGACCATCCACGGGCAGCCGGTCGGTCTTCTCGGTTGTGGGGCGGTGGGGGGGTGAACGGCCTTCTCTGCCTGCCCCCCCCTCGCCCGGCCCCACAGCGGCCGATGCCCCTGAAAGGCGGCTCCCTCAGGACGTCCGTCGGGCAGCCCAGCC